AATGAGATTAAAGACTACCGGTGAACAGTTAAAAAAAATAAAAATACACCTTATTGTTCCTGCTGCTGCCTCTGCAACAAAATTCGAATTCATTTATAAAAAAATTAACCAAACAAATGGCATGTTGGACCACTGATATAGTGTAGCACTTACATCTAAGAACACGTCCACTCTTGATGGCTATCCCTAATGTTCTGTGTTCCTTTGGAGTGTTTTAAGCAGAAACTAAATGATACCTCTATAGATTAACAGGGATCTCACAGTAACAGTTCAAGTTTCAACGAATTAGAACTGACACATTTTCAAACACAACTCATGTTGCCTGACATGAGTAGAAGTGATTTATTTTTTCTGTTCATTCATGGTGCCTCTTAGGGATGCCTCGATATGGATATCGGACCGATACTTACTCTAATAGCTGACAATGGACAATCCTCTTTCAATTTATTGCTGCATTAAAAAAGGTTTACACTTGAAATATATATATTTTTTATTTTGTACCAAGTTGCTGTTGCACAACTTATTATTTTAATGTTAAATAACATTTCAGTAATCTATATTTGTTACATTTTGTTAGTTACATTTTGTGGCCCCTTGAGGCCAGTGCAAACAAGCTGTGAACACAACATTGACATATCATCACAATCCAAGTTGATAAGATGAACTTGTTAGCAAACAGTTGCTTATTTACACATCCAGCTGTTTCAGAGCAACATTGAGTTTAAGTGCAACAATCGCTCTCTTTTAGCTCAGTTTTGATCTCCACCAATTAATTCTCCACTATGTACACCTCCAACTATCTGCCCCAATGTTCAAATGGCAGTTAGAAATTCAAACAAAATGGAATACAGACTGGAATTGCAGGGAGAGGTTGATATCGCGGCTGTGCACTTGTACTTCTACAAGACACCCCCTGAAAAATTTGAAAGGAAACAAAACTACATTTTGTTTTTTTCTTTCACCATCAATGAGAGGCTGGGCTTCATGATTTCACATGGCATAAAAGTTTTAAGAAATGGCAGTTAGAGAAATTGATTGGTGTTGAATAATCCAGAATCCATAGCAAAGGTGTTGATATTTTCCTCCAGGCAGGATTGGTATCGGCCTTTAGATACTAAACACTGGTATGTCCTGCCAACAAGCATCCCCGGACACAAAGTGGTTGTGATCAGCAGTCTGTGAGCGGCACAAAGTCAACATCAAAGTGGATGAAGAACATCCTTCCTACGATCCAATGACAAAGGACACAAATTCAGTCCCATTCAGGAAGCTCCCTGACACATCCTTCCCTCTCATCCCTCCTCTCCAGCTGTCATTCTCTCACTGATCTTGGATCCAGCTGGCCTGATGAGGTGCATCGTCCAGGCCACACGGATGTAATGGAGGGGAAAATCTATGAGTCCGACCGCACTGTAAGCGCTAGAGCCAACATGACATTCTTCTGACCGGCTGCAAGGATTGGGATGGCTGCTGGCAGTCATGTGTGGAGGCACACTCAGTGTGTTCATCAGTGCTGATCTGACTGTGAGAGTGCAAACACAGCTGACATAACTCCTTCACCTCGCCCTGGCCAGGACCAGCTGGACCAGGACCAGCTGGACCAGGACCAGCTGGACCAGGACCAGTTGAACGACACAGTGCTAAAAAAATCAGGCACCTTCTTCTCATGTGTCCATAAAATGATTGTGCCATGAAGAGAAAAAAAGCAAACGAATACATTTAACTCTACGCATTTTAAGCATTTTGCTTCATTTAATGCTCATCATCACGCAAGGACACATGGTCACAGTTTTAAGCAGACGGTTTGAATACAAACAAAACGACTTGGTGAAAGATCATGGTTTGGGTGATAATAAATAAATAATGTTTCATTGATTGTATTTGTTCACAAATAATAATAAAAAAAACATTGTAACGATAATTTACAGCACCCCGTTCTTGTCCCCCGTGCCATGCATTTGCTCCCTACATGCTCTCCACATTGATTCCATGTTCTTATGAGGCGCGGCACTTCGAGCACTAACTATAATTTGATATAACCCACATCATCGTGAGCCAGGACAGGCGCATCGTATAAAGAGCGAAAGAGGTATGATGTATGAGTGGGTCTAAAAAAGAACTGGACTTTTACCCAAGAGACCGTTGTGTCCCAAGTGAAACTAGAAGTCATTGTCACGTATCTTCTGTACTTAAGGTGCTAAAAATTCTGATGATATCTATAGTGTCTCGACACGGCTCTCAACATGGCGACGGCTGAGCCAGTGGCAAGCAGCTAACCCTGGTAACAGTGCAAACTGTGGCAACAGTGCATTGTGTATGAGGGGGACCAGAGGGTCGGCGCTATGCTTCCACGACTACGCTATTGGTCGGGACCCCACTATTAGCTTTACATAGCAAATATTTGTTTGCTGCTATTAATGCTCTGAATGTCGTACATGGAACTTTTAAGTAACGCCAATGCCTTCCATAATTAATTTCAATGAAAACATTCACTTTCATTCACTCTAACCCAAACCACAATCGTATTTTGAAATCTAACCAAAGTAGTATTGTTGGCTGAACACAGCCCGGGCTTTGACCGCTCGTGTTGCTGTACATTTGTAGGTAAACGCACGAAAAATAACAAATGAACTTTGCGTAGCATATCCTACAACGTTGTAGGATACGTAGATTTGTTTAACACATCCACTCCGTCCTCCTCCCTACTCCAACTTTCCCGCTCTTTTAGACCTGAAGTTGGCGTGTTATTCATATTCCATTTGAAGAGACCAGGGTGCCTCCAGCTAAATTCAAGCTTAAACGTCACACAGTGACCACAATGAACCTCTACAAGCCAGTCAGTCCAAGAGTTTTAGCCGTGTCCAAATTCTCAACAGGAAGTGAATCATGTTTCATGCGAATGGTCAGCGTGCAGGTGAGAAAGGAGCTACGGGGTTTGAACTCCTCTAAAATACGTAGACACAAAACTCGAAATGTCCTTAAAAGTAGACAGCTATTTATGAGATCACGTTACATGACTGCACAACAACATGTAAGTTGTAGCACCTTCACACTACACATAGAACATGTACAGTATGTGCAATGTCAGTGTAATATGATTATTGTAAACTAGAGTTCTAGACTTTGGTGATTGTGGGAATGGGGTAGTGGTATCGAATGTTATGATCTAAGAAATCTCATACTCACACATGCAAGACAAACACACAGTACATAATCAGACAAACTCCCGTGAACAAACACAAGGACTCATACAGTCTATGCATACACTCATACTCACTAGCACGAACGATCCTAATCCACATGTACACACACAGTTCACAGCAGGTTTTTGGAGATTTCCTGATGTCTCTAAAGCCTGTTATTAATGAGTCCTAACTGTTCCAGTGGCAGGAAACACCCAGGAAAACCTCCACACCCCTGATGTTATCTCTCTTTATTTGTTTCCCCGACTTCCCATCAGCAGACAGTGGAGTTTGCATCACGTCCCCAAGCGCACAATGGCACTTAGATGATTACAAAGTCTTTTTTTATATAGTTTGTTGTTTTTGGTGCATTTTGCATTCAGAGAAGGATCGAGATTAAGTCCACCTGTCAGTCAAGGGAGATCTGGAGCTAATTGAATGGAGGCATAGTAGAAGAGCCCTGAAAAGCCATTCCTGGGACGTTTGTGAATATCTGTCGTCATGGCTACAAGTGACTGAGGCAACTCCGAGGTTCCCGCAGGGCAGAAGTCTGGCCCAACGTCCAGACTTTAATCCAAAAGTTAAACACAACGCCAGCTGGACCAATGTGCCCATTTCTGGAGTAAATTAAACCGTCATTGTGGGCTAATGGAGAAGGAATGAATTTTGAACTCCCAGCAATAGAAAAGAAACAACAAGGATTGGTTCTGTTAACGTGTCCATTACTCATGCAGGTTCGACACTTTTAAAATAAGGGATTTTAGAGGAATATTTCACCCCCAAAATGATCACTTGTATTTCAATTACTTACTCTGTGTTATTTTGAATTCTTGAAGAAAACAGCCATGGGACCTTTGTTGCATGTCGAACCCGCCTCTCTCTCCCAGTTTTTCAATTTGCCACTACACTCTTTATCTGTCCAATAAAAATAATAATAGTAATCTTTAAAAGAAAAAATGTCTCTCAGAAAAAGCCTCAAATCGACATCCTCACATGTGAATCCACACTAAAAACACCTGAACAGCTGGACCACAGCTACGTCTTTTCATCCTCGTCCTATACTTCAGATTATTTAATATCATTCAAAACAAGATTAGGGAGATACATTCCACAGCAGTCAAGCCCAAGTTCTACTTGACGAGCCCGTGAGGGTCCACAGGACGTAAATATCATCGTTAGAGGGTGTCCTCCTACCGGTGCTTTGGTGTGACCACTCGGACCAACCAAACCACCAGGAAGAGTGGCGGGCTTTGAAGTTCATTTGACACGTTCACGTCAAGTTCACATAGTAGCCAAACGGTGGAAATATAACCGTCATGTGATGCTATCACGCCCAAAAATACTTTTTCCCTATAGACTTACATTGGGAAACAGCCGTCTGAATGTCAGCAGATACTTTTTCCTTTTTTAGGTGAATCAACTTCCCAGTACAATGTATGAATATAACTGAGGCTTTATTATGTGTTTTATATTGTGACGGAAGTCCAAGCTCCAGGTTTTAGGTCTGAAGTTCACCCAGCAGCCACATGTTGAACTGTAGCCTGTGGTTTACGTGAAGACACGCTGACTGTGTGAAACAGGCCTTTCCCGTGATCAAACAAAATCAGTACCGATTGTGACTTCACCCCCGCGTCCTTGAGTCATGGACCGTTTTAGAAAACGAATCAAAACCGAGGGGGGTGAACGCATTGTCTCGCGGCTTCCTTTGTTATTCAAAAATGTCCCGGCAGCAGTGAGTCCAGAGCTCTGGGATTGGACTGGACTGGGTCTGCCCCTGGTTCCTCTTGATAAGGGGAGGCAGGGGCAGGGCTCCGGGGCTGCTGTACTGGCTGCTAACAGCAGAAGACTTTGGCTGAGCACGGCACAGCATCAAGCCACTGTGGGAGACAAGACAGACAGAGAGAGAGCGGTAGAGAGACACTGAGCTACAACGCTACAGCCAAGGAGACTGCAGAAACACTCTCTCCCCCCAAATCCCCAAGTCTGCACAGCGAGGAGAGAAAGAAGCAGTGGAGACAAACAAAAGCATTCTTGGCTTTCAGTTTAAGAGAAGAAAAAGAAGAAGCAGAGAAAAAAAAAAAAGAAGTGAACAATACATTGGGCGAGATCATTTACTTGAGAGAGAAAGTGAAGGAGAAAGGCGTGACAGGACGGCGTCAGTCAGCGGTTGGGCTCGAGCTAATCATCATCCGCCTCCAGTTACGAAGTAACAGATTGTCGCACTGCATGAAAGATAAGAAGTGGGCAGAAACAGGATGAGAGCGACTATGAGGATCACGTGGCCGCTGCTTTCACTCAGTGAGTAGAACTTGACTTAAATCTACACCTGGGAGTGATGGGTCTGTGGGTGTCATGATGCTGGAAAGTGGCCTTTTCTCTGATAGTTGTAAAATGTCTCATAGGATGTCCATGGTTGTTGCTGGGGGAGTGAAAGCAGTTGAAGTGTCATTTAAACGCTGCAGGGCAATACGTCTGCTTTTAAAACAAACAGGTGCGCACTGACTGTTAGAATGATCGATAAAACAGTAGTGATGTATTAATGTAGAATTACTCCATTACCTTTAAAATTATGCATTTTAAATTGTCAATTTATTTTCTAAATAATAATTTAGAAGTATTCTAACAATAATTACTTCACATATCAACAGTAAAATTATACTTTATTTAAGTTAAGTAGCAATACAACAATTTTTTTAAAGAGCCCCTCACCCCCCCAGAAAACATAAAGTATCAAAATAAAAGTAATTATTCTGAAGATAAATGGCCCTGTGACTAATTTTATTAAATAATATATTACTTTAGATGTTTTATGCTGAACATTCTATACAATGAGGTTAAAAAGTATCCCTTTAATGGAGTAGAAGTATGAAGGAGCGGGAAATTGAAGTATCTCTTAACTGTGCTCGAGTACATGTACTTTCTGTCATTAGGCAAGTGATCGGCCCCTTGCTGTGTTATCTCATCGTATTGTTGGACTTGCTGGTGAACGTGTGAGCGTCATGTCGTAGCTGCTAGAGCTGGAACTAGTTTGAACTACTTTCTATGCCGTTGAGTTTTAATCCAGTGGTTGTTGTTGGGTTGTGGGCTGTCTGCTAATTTGACCTGAGAGGGAGGTTTTTATTTCTATTCACGTATATGCAGTATTTCACAAGGAGAAATACAAAAAACGAAAACTGAATTTTGCGTGACAGAAATATCATTCTTTCCTTTTAATCATCTGGTAGTGACTCCCAGCTTGGGAACCACTGGTTAAAGTCATATTCAAATAGGCTAAATTCAAACCATAGAAGACTTTGTGACTTATGTTTTTTACTGAAAGCAGGATTACATCACCTTTAAAGTGTTTTACAATAACTACCCAAATAATTCAGGTGTTTTTATTAACTTCACAGCTCCACAGATTTCATTAGATCTTTTACTGTACAATGTAGGCCTATACTTTACTACCCCATACACTGTTTGTTTTTTGTTTTTTACTTGTAGTTTACGTCATCGTGTACAGCCATTTCATCTCAATTTTGATTATGAAGTATAATACCAGATAAAAGATACACGTTAGTATGTAATACTTCATATAAAATCTCTTGAGGGGGGAAGACGGGAGGGGTGTTGAATGCAGAAAAGCTTCGATGGCTCAGTTTGTGGACACGTTCAGTCTCTAAGAAGCAAAGAGAACACAGAAACCCGTCGGTGGACGCTGACAGAGGAACACTGCCAAACTTGAAACGTGCTGCAAACCAGGGTCGCTGCCAGTAGCCTTTTTGTCTTCGTCTTGCTTCTTTGTGCACAAATTGAGGAGAGTGAAATCCTCTGCATTGAACAGCAAACCCCCTACTTTTGTTTTTTTTACCCTCCTATGCGCTACTGTTGACCAGTTTGGGAAGCAGACTGTTGCTGTGTGGACTGTATTGAATCTGTAAGAAAGTAGTAATCGCACAGTAGGAGTGAGGAGTGAGAGCTGAAACATCTGTCCCTCCACCCTCCCACCATCCCACCGTTAGGGCCCCCCACAAACCCCCCCCCCCCCCCCCATCTTCCTCAACATACACGCACACACTCACACACACTCAGAGAAAGTCCTCCAATAGCTGTGGACACAAGGACCCTGAATAATGAAGCGCACCCCTGACCTCACTCCCTGGCTGAGAGGCGAGGAAAGTGTTTTTCTTTAATTATGCACCTGCCGCTCTCGCCACTACAGTAGGTGGATTCAGATGGGAGGCCTTCACTTTATTTTTTTGATTGTGTGAAGAAAACATGTGACACAGGCCCCAAAAAACTCAATCTGAAGGCTTGTCAGCACTTTTTCCTAAAAATAAAAAAGCCTGACACGTTTTTTGTGCGTTTGTGTGTTTAACGGCCTGTTATCACAAGAAGGGCTCGGAAACCTAGACATTGCAATTTTTTAGCTGAAGAGTAACTTTGTAACTGACCCTTTGTCAGCGCTATCTTACCATGGAGCCCACACTGTCACTAACTGCATTCCCTGAAGAAGTGTTATTTAGTTTTTGTAAAAATGAAAAAGCGATTTCAGAGAGAAACAGACAGAAGGGTCTAAAATATGTGTTTGAAGTTTATATCCAGGATCAAAACCCTTTAAAAAAAAATCACCTGGAGATCCAGACAGAAGACAATGAAATGAAGGAACATCACTGTTCCTGTAGAGGTCTTAATTCACAAACACAGATGAAGAGTTGAGGAGGCAGCAAGTAGAGTACAACGATTCAAGGAAGAAATTAACTTACATCTGCTGGAAGTCCAAAAATCGAATCACAGGTGTGGTAGAAAACAGGCGGGAAAAAGTCAAAGACAGGAAGTAAAAACAAATGGTCAGATGAAGACCTCCAAACCAGGATCATTCCGTGATGATTTTTCCCGACGCACACTATCTAGTAAAGGAGCAGCTTCAGAAATGTGAATCCATTTTTTCAGAGCGCCAAAAACCAGCTGAAGCGACTCCAGAATCCACCATATTTGAATGTGCCATATCCAGCTCTCCTAGACAGGGCCCTAGATGTGCAGGCCTCCTTCTTCTCTGGGCGCAGTTACTTCCTGAAGTTTCAGCTGGTTGTCACGGTGACGACAAGACTTCAGGAAGTTTCTGCGCCCAGCCAAGAAAAAGTCCCGCACACATTTGGCTTGTGTTTCCCGGACAGACATGAGATTAGTATCGATCTTCTCATAACTATAGGCAAGAAAGCAAATAGCCAAAATGTTGATATTACTCAATACGATGTAAGATTACTTGGGTTCAAAACTACTCATAAAAGTACAAAAGCGGCAGCATATTTCCCAAAATGTCAAACTATTCCTCCAGCAGCACAAGTTCTGAAAACTCACATTTCTGTATTAATGGGAGAATTGACCTATTTGTAACCTAGTCTTTCAGCATGAGTCCGTTGTTATCTTTAAGTTCTGGGGACAAAATTGTCCAATATAAAGGCTTCGATGTCATCACAATTCACTGCAAATTGGTATCATGCTTCTTGCCGGTAGAATGAACATGTATTTCTACTTCTGTCTGCTTATAAACACAGTTTTCAGTGAACATGCCATTTCGCTTTCTCAACTCAAGCTTCTATAGCGCAGAGAATCTTCCTGCTAACTGCAGCTACTTGCATCTGAAAGTTAAAAATATAGCCGGGATGCTCAAATCAAAGATTCAAAACGGTGCAGCCGAATTGAATCATCAAACGCTTGGAGGGGGTTTAAATAAACCATTTGGATCCTGTAGGAAGAAGGCAGGATCATCAGTTATCAGTCCTCTCCAGGACTTCCTAACCCCTACGCAGACCGTCTTTCTGGTGTGTTTGCGGGTTCATGACTTGTACGTTTCCTACAAGATAACAGCAGCCGGGGTTCCCGGCCTGTCTGCACACCAGCGGCCCGGGGAGACGCTGCCCATTTGGCACACTCGTCTGGTGTCTGCGCTGGCTGGCGTACATGGAAGAGAATGTAGAACAATAGATGGGGGTGGAAAAAAAACATGATCAACATCCCAGTTCCCAAGGAGGGCATGGCGGCCGGAGACGGCCTTGAGCCAGCCTCTCCCACTCAGCAACCGCGAGGCTTTCAATCCAGCCACATGGTGGAAAAACAGGCAGAGGAGAAGTGGGAGAATATGATATTTACAGAGCAGGGTCGGTCAGATTTTTTTCAATATGCCTTTCATGACATGAAAAACAATGTGCAACGACATTATTTGGTATAAATAAGGATTATGAGTTATTATGATTCGAATATAAATCATCTGCAGAAAAAGAGTTGTGTTGCTTAAAAAAACCCAAATGAGTCCTGGTAGTTCAGAATCTTTAGGTGTGATTCACAGCAAAAAATATTTTTACATTTTTTTGGTGATTGATAACCATGGATTCAGTCTCATAATTAAAGGACAAGTTTACTAATAGTCAATGGATTGCTCACTGAGCTAATCAAATGTAGTTTTATATCGTTAGCTTGCTAGCATTTACGTTTGGGTTAAAAGGCGTTTTCCTTTCTAATTTGATGAAAGTTACATGATGGAGGCTCACGTCTTACGATTATCGTGTCTCAGATGAGACTTTTTCCGTCAAATTTTGGAAATTCCTAAACTTTTTTGTTCACCGTGTTTCAACTCAGTTTTTAATGAGCGGTGCTCAGTTGTTATGGCCATGATGTAGTTTAATTGTAATTTGGAAAGGTTTTTCTTCATTTTTTACATCATCAACCATCGGGTACAAGAGGTTAATGTTTGTCTGCAGATAATTATCAAATGTTTGATGTCCACGAGTCCTTGAACACCCCATTAAATCAGTCCCTGCTCGCAAAAACAATACTGTTTATTGTAATGGATAAGCTATCTCAACTCTCTGCTAATAAATCTTCACAGCATACTGATGTGTGATGAAAGCAGTCAAATCTAAATCCTGGTATGTTTTGGAAAATGGATGGCAATAAGAAGGATTTGTAGTTGGCGTGACTCTTTATGATTTATAGCAGAATTGATGCCATAAAGAAAGAAAACTTTGTCAGTTGTTTTATTATTGTTTTATTATTGTTTACTGTTCAAACCCCTTGGAAATACAACTCACATTCCTGACCTCCCTCGAGGACTCCTGAAGGTCCGAGGCAGCCTTTTTATTAGGATCTGTGTGCTGTTTAGAATCCAGATGCAGTGGGTCTTGTTTTTAAAGGCCAGGCATGGCTGGCATGTGGAAGTTTCCTTCAGGGAGGAACCTCTGCTCTCTGTAAAGCTGAGCATTTCATCACTGTCTGACGCCGCAGATAAAGAGCCGCTCGCCTTCACCTCTACTGTAACC